GGAAATAATGTTTGAGGGATGTTGCATTTGCTGACAGTGGCAAAGTCTTTGAAAAATGCCAAACTCATCTTCTCGATGTCAATGCCAGGGGGAAATTCCAGGTCAGGTTTTTATTTTTATTTTGATGCCACACATCCTCGAATATGCCGACCTAAATCAACTTTGAACCCTTGTTTGATAACATTTTTTTTGCAACGGGCCCCTTCTAGAAACTGATTTAATTCAGTTACAATAACACAAGAGAACACTAAAACCTTTCGTGCTGTAGGCAATGTGAAGTGATCAAGTCTGGATCAAAAAGGTCTTTGTGCATTCCCCCTGAGACTTAATTCTACTGTTTGTATTATTATTAGTTTTAGTTGAGTATGTTTAGCTTCCCCTTACACCCAATAAAGGTCTCAGACTCAACCTTTGGAACCATGTTTTGTATGCGACTGTGTTTGGTTGCTGATTTCTAACCCTGTGTGTCAAATCCAAAAGTTGCCATTGTGTTCATGGGGCTTTAGACCATTTTTATCTAAACCCCCTAGCTAATTCTTGTCTAGACAAAGCTAGCTGCTAGTGACTCTGTGAAAAGGATTATCTGGACTCGTACTCTTATGGTTGCAACCCCTGAAACCTTCCCCCTCCCCTGATCAACAGCAGCTGACTGATCAGCATGTATAAAGTTGCTCTACACATCTAACCTGTGATGCATAGTGCAGTAGCAAAGATTTATGCATACTCAGCATTTTGACTCAGTATTGCCAGAGCTATCCTCTATCCTCTTAATAAAATGATTGAGATTAAAACATGAGCAGCACATGCTTATCAGTCTGTTGTGTTTGAGCAGACCAAGCTCATCACCACAGCTCCTTTTTCTATTAACATAGTCCACAAGACAATCTGTTGGGCGAAAAATGTTCAAAACTCTGAGTCCTTATGTTTTTTTACTGTTTATGATGTTATCATTCGCCAACAAGGGAATCAATGTCTCTCGTTTTTATGACTCGTCTCTCATGGTGTCTGAGATACACAGTGAAGTGTACATATCTGATTCCTCTCCTTGTTACCTGATATCATTATCCCTCTGTTTAAGCAGTGGGCTTGTTACTGAGTTCAGTCTTTCCATAGATGCTCAATACCAAAGATGCGTGCATGATTGAATAACAAGCCCGCTGCTCAGTGCAGGTCATTGACCATTCAAGCTGCAGTTGAGTGCTTGAGCATAATGCAGCATCTGATATGCAAGCTATTTATGTTGTGTGGTCGTCTTCTTCCCTAATTAGTTTGTTTATCCTCTCTCTGCCATCTTTTACTTTTAACCTTTGGTCTCCAAGGGAAATTCTTTTTCCACACTTCTTGGCTTGGAATTAATAAAATATCTGGAAACGGATTTTGCTCCTTGACACTGAAGAGTCGGGTTTCATGTACATCACATAGAAACTCTGAGAGTCAGCTAAAAACTTCCTGTATGTAAATCAGTCAACATGCCTACCAAACCCAGACCTCTCATTTCAAACGATGTTAATTAATCGATGCATTCTTCCTCATAGCAGCGGGAGAGGTTTCTGCGGCACAGTGACACAGGTCCAGGCCCCGCAGGTGACTGGCCCTCACCAGACTCCAATGCCTCACCAAATGGCTCCAGGTCTGCCAAGGACAGCAGCAGCGGCTGTTCCAGACCCAGAGCTTGGAGCGTACGCACCTTCCAGGACTTCCTCCCTCCTCTGCCGCAGCTGCATAAGAAGTGGTGCAGCTGGAACTCCACCAGTCCCTTCACCAAGCTAGTGGACAGCGTCAGTACAACAAACCTTTCATGTCGTTTCACCCACAGTCATTTATGGCATAATAAGAATGATGAGGTCTGTGCTTTAAAGAGTTCAAGTGTCGGTTGGATTTAGTTTGCTTCTAATTTAAAGTCTCTTAAATGTTCTAGTTTATGGTGGCCCTGCAGCTCAGAACAAGAGTACATTATTAAACTGTATATTATCAAGATATTTTTCATCATTTTTGACTCATTTAATATATATATCCAGCCTTAATTTACCATTTTATCACACATACCACTGCAGAATGTTATAACCTGCCCTAACATAAAAGTGCAGGTGTAGTTTGCATCATTCAAAGTGGCTTTATTTGATCATTTAAATACCTATAATGCATGCTGTTACAGTACAATCATGGCTAACTGTGACCCTTGAATGAACTGGAGTTGTCCTATTCTTCTAAACCTGTACAAACGGTCTTGTATAATTCCAGACTCCATCCAGTTTGGTCACTGACTGCAGGGAGGGCGAGAGCAGGAAGGTCTTCTCCGACATTCACCTGGAGGCCAATGCAGACAACAGCATCACATCCGACTCTTCCATCAGCAACGCCTCCTACCCCCTCACACAGCCTGCTCAGCGGCAGCGGCGTCTCAACTCTGCGAGCAACCTGCGGCGCTCCCGCTTCACAGGGCACTGCTTTGGCCTGCTCTCTGGGACGGCAGACCCGACGAAGGCTCCCTGTCTCACTCTTGCGCCTGGCTCCCCCTCAGACTCCAGCCCTGGCTCTCCGTCCTCCACCCAGGGTCAGATCGAGAGTGGCCAGGCCGGGAAGAGGTTCCCAGGAGAGGCTGATCACATCAGTGTGCCAGTGTTCGCCATCTCTGAGGAGGAGGACCGGCAGCCTCTGGTCTCAGCCGAGCACCTGGATCAGACCTCTCTCTCCACCGTGCTGAACGGAGCGATAAGGGGGATGTATGAAAAGAAGAGGCCTCTCGACGCAAGCAGCAGCCTCAGCCCCCAGAGCCAGAGGGCCAGACCCGAGTGGAGGCCATGGGGGAGCCAGGTGACAGGAGGGGTGGGGCCGCTCCCATGCATCGAGTCAAACAAAGTCAACCAGCCGTCTCTCAGTCAGTCCTCAGTGCTGTGCAGTGTGACCAATCACATGTGACCACACAGTCTTTAAGTTTGTGAAATGAGCAGAGACTCTGGTGGGCCAGTTATACATTTCTGAACTCTTAGTGCCACTCTGTAAAATATATAACATTTACTTTCTGTACTATTACAAAATGATTACTTCATCAAGTGTAGCCTCAGCTGCTGCTGGCAAATCTATTCTTCTCACTCTAGCTGTTTTGTATTTTTATATGATTTTCTTTGGACAAATATTGGAATAATATGCTGCTTACCATGCCAAGGCTGCGACTGCTGTGGTTAGTGTTTGTTAAAAAAAATAAAAGAATGATTGCAAAATGCTAAGAAAAAAGTATTATCGAAGCAATTATCCATAACCCGGAACTCTTAGGAGCACTTTTGAAAAACTAGATTTATTCACCAGTTTGATGCTATTCAGCCAGTTATAACACTCAAACATTGCACTTTGCTTTCAATGGCTCATTCATTGTGGATTTTGTGCTGCTAGTGCCAGATTCCTGTTTTTTTCTGATGTTTATTTCTTAGTGCTGGATAATGAATGCTTCTACAATGACTTATTACCCAAAAGTGTTCTGCAGAGCATCGACTGTGTTACAACATGTGGATGCAGTATGTTCTCCTGAAGCTCATCCTGGATTATAAAAGGGAAATTAAATAAAGTTAATGCAAATAGAGTTTCTACTATACGATATTATGTAGTATATGAAAAGAGAACTAGAAACCACAATAGTATTTAAAATGAATAATGAATCTATGTAAAGTTTTAATAAAGGCTATTTCATTCACTTGCTGTCCTTGATTTAGTGTGTTATGTGAACAGCAAGATACAAAGTAATCTTTGAACTACACCTTACACTGAGTTACTCTTCAGCAGAATTAGAAATACTATTGCATACTATTGCAAGAAGCACTTAGATGTGAATGTACAGAAATGGAAAAAGGCTTTTACTCTTTTCACTAAAGTACAACTTGCAAAAGGTAACACGACAAGAAATCTTTACCTTCTTCAACTCTGCTTTAAATAATTTCTCGTCCTGTACCAACAGAAATCAAATCTTTTTGGGGGGTGCTGGTAGCCTGGTGGTTGGTGTGTGGAGGCTTAAGTCCTCCAAGCGGGCGGCCCGGGCTTGAATCCTTTAAATAAAGGCATAAAAAGCCTAAAAATAAACCTTAAAAAAAAATGCTATCTACTTGTTTTAATGGTATCTCCTTCTCAGACACTGACAAATACAGAGGTTAAGAAAATATATTTTTTGCATTAACTTCACCTCACAAAAAGTCTTCCACTTAAAGCTGCTGTGAGGAACCTTCCATTTTTGTGGATTTTGGCGACCCCTGTGGACAAAGTGGTACTTTTCAGCTCTACTGATCTTGCCCAGTTGTATTCTTCAATTAAAATAAATATCCTGCTGTCTATTAACAGCCAAACATATCACTCACTGTGACTGTTTGCCGTGGAAAATGCAAACAAAGGCTGTTTGGCAGAATGCTTTAGCTCACTTCGTTTGACAGCTATGAAGCGGTGTCTGGCATAAAACATAATAACATAGAATTTTTTTTTTTTTTTTAATCAATTACGGTCTTGTGTGCTTTTGACGATCACAGAAGCATGCGGACAAATGTCAGTCTGTTTTATATCCAGTTTCAAACTCCTCACAGGGGCTTTCACTATAAAGTACATGGTCAGTTTATTTGTGTGATGGAGGGTTAAAGTCCCAATAAAATAAAATAGATTTTTTTCTCTGGTCTCAATCCAGTATTCCTCAGTTAAATGTTCATTTATCTGACAAAATATGTTTCAATAAAGCATTATCCGAGTATTTTTACATCAAAATAAACTATTTGATCTTCCTGTAAAACATTTTCATCCTAATCAGGTTTGTTTACTAATTTTAGACCAATTAAAAAGCTGTATCTACATTTAAAACCCCTCCCCATAACTATAAATTCTGCCAGTTACCGCCCTCTGCGCAGGATCTACGAGCTAGCGAGCAGCTAGGGGTCCTCGGTGTGTTTTTGGTTGTGAGAGTTATTTGTGTCTTTTCCGCTTCCATTTGAACCCTTAGCTATGAAGAAGAGAGGCGGAGAGGCGAAGAGTCGGTTTCTTCAGACATACATGTTGGTCTTTTAATTTGTCAGGGTACACAAGTAAATCAGATCTGTATACAGGTCAATGTTTTAGATTTCTGATTTGTAGCATTGCTAATATAACATACAAATGATCATACAGCGTAAGAGGCATTTATCAAACATATTCTTGCAACATTTCAACATGTGCCTAATGCTAGCTTTAACTAGAGGTTGATCATAGTCTAGACTATAACTGTAGAAATAGTGCATTGCATACAAAGTTTACAGGCATCAGTAAGGACTTCCAGCCCTCATTAAGAGGCGTGTTTTGAAGGGATGTGATCTTGACTCTGATGCCTGTTCAGCCTCCCTTGTCCCTGGGAGCTGCGCTGAGGTAGAATGGTCCTGCCTCTTCCATACTGCTGAGCAGTGCGGTCCAGACTCTTGCACACAAAGTGAGTAAATATTTTCCGTAGTATACAACATACCCCCTCCCACCCACATACCAGAGAACGCAAAGCACTCAACCAAAGCCTCTTTAATACCAATTCCTGATTGGAGCGGCTTGGGACTGTTGTTGGCTTATGGTGCCCAGATCTCCGGTGGGGAATAATTAAAACTCAGCCACACCGTCGGGGGATCGACCGGGTTTGTGCCGAGGGCCTGAGCCGCTAAGGAATGCCAGTGTGGACCCACCGTGACTCAGGGAATACAAAAAATAAAAATACACACCTAAACCACTTTACTAACACCACAGATTAACTCAAGAGCTCTGGCAGAGACCAGAAAGTGCCCATTCATAAACCCAGTTTAGAAACATACTGTGTCCACAGTCACTATGGCTCATGTTTCTCATATATATATCTTTCTAAAGGACATCATTTTCAAAGATTCAGCATGTAAAGTAACAACGATATATACATGTGAAAAAGTTAAATTTTCCCTCTATTGCATTTTTCTACCTGATGAATCGTGTCCCATTTTGGAATGAAACCCTTTATATGATTTAAAATCAGACAAAGAAGAACCAGACGACGGAAATCTCAGGTGCTATGTAAAGACAGCTCTTCTAAGATGTTTGGCTCATACCATTCCCTTGCAGACCTCACATGATGCCTCTATCTGTGTACAAAACGTGATGTGCAAATATCCTCATTGTTGTGAAACATAACCACATCTACTCAATATTTGGACTTATCTCTAGTACATATTCTTCTAAACAAAGCCCAAAAACTTTCTTAAAAAAATAAGCCCAGTAGCTGTATGTGGGAATCATACAAAGGTACTGGATTCAAGCTAAGTGTTAAAACAATTCCCCCCACCCCCACTCTTCTTGTCCACCTACAGTTTTCTACAAATGTACACACTACATCGGGCCCACAAATAAGGTATGTGTTACTTCATCCTCACATTTCAATATATAAGGCCCCTTGAATCTAATGTCTTAAGGTTGAGAAGGCGAAACAGTCCAGAAAAATAAACATGACTTGTCCTTTTTTTTTCTCCAGTAGACATCATGTAGCTGTGCATGTTTGTGAGTGATAGCATTGACACGTGGAGGTCTCAAATCAGAAGTCAACACGACATCTTTGACATGTTGACACAGCACTCTCTGACGACCAAATATCGTTCACCTGTCGTTTAAAAATCACAACACAGCAGCTCTGTGTACCTGAGAATCCAAAAAAAAAATCGATTACAAGCCTAAACACAATGATTTCATATCTCTCAGCTCTGGCCTATACAACAGGAACGTACATTTCAACTCAAAGGTACGCTGTTGAGTTGTGTTTGCACGATTCTCTAAACCTAGTTAACCAAGTGCATCATCCAGCTATTGCAAACTTTCAATTTGTGTGAAAGAACCATCACTTCCAGCAAACTCAACAACCGCAGGTTTCCTGGAGTGTTGCATTTTTTCAAGACCATACATGAGTAACTGCCTTTCATCACAGCTTAGCCCTTACTACAAGGCTCTAAGAAAGGGTCCCTTCTACACTATAATCACCTTTTGAGATGATTATCCTGAGCAAAGCATACACCAAAGCCCCCCCCCCCCCGACAGGGTTACAACACATTTATCCCCTTACAAATCCTATACAAATATCACAAGGGATTATTAATCTAGAGAACGTATGCGCAGGCTTTGACATGGCTTTTTGCCCCCGTCTGGAGATGAAGTAATACCTGGGCGAAACAAGAAAAGCCCCCCCCCCTCCCCAGAGGTGAGACATTTACACTTAATGATATTGTTACGAGTTGGAATCCAGTGGAAACTAATTATGACTTGGCCAAAAATGGTGCAACTACTGTAATACTCTGACATAATCATGAGCAGTAAAAAGAACCTCCCTAACAAAATAAAACATTGAAAGACAGACTGTATACATCATGTGTTTATACCCTCAATTACAAAAGGTAGAAAACTACATATTACAAACATGTTTAGGTGAATGATCTTTATCTGTACAAATTGAACCACAAGGTCTCTATTTAGGATTTGTTTGTTTTTTTCCATACAGGCTGGAGGAAGTATCAGGAAGCATTTTTGACAAATTAAAACACTGACAGTTGGTGGTTGCTTACCTGGTAGACTTGGTGAGTAAAGGAGCCCCCCCATCTCCCTGCCCCCTAGGTCTAAACTCTCAATAACAGCTCTAACCTTTAAGTAAACATGAATTCAACTCCAATGATAATGTGCATAGCATTATTTCACACAGCCCCACATCGAGCAGGACACTGGTCATTATTGTAAATGGATACCGATTGTATTTTCTGCATTGGGTTTTTGCATAACATCTGAAAGGCAGATCTCTAATATGGACAGAAAACAGAACGTCACAACATCGTGTGACACTCTTCAGTTTGACACACAGGTGAAGAAACAAACCCCTCCACTCCTCAGCTCTTGAAGCGTGTCTGCTCACAAATGTGATTGAATTTCCTGAAAATGAATTAAAGAAGAAAAAATAAAAAAGACAATCATTTAGAGCTGCGTTAAAAAAAAAACATGACATAAAGGACCTCCATCAGGTCTTCAAACAGCAGAACTTTGGGACCAACTTTAAACTATGACTCCCTCTAGTGGTACAGTATGTGAACTACATGCAGGGGGGTCACCATGTGTTTCTCATTTCTGTCCTGTTTGTCAGATACAGTCAGAATAATTCAAAACAGATTCATAACTGACAGTTAAACCTTGGCATGGCCATGTCTTTACAATTGTAATCTTCTTAAAGTTGTCTTATCTTTTATTATTCTTTTAAAACGTTGTCCTCAAATGTCCTGCTGTTGCAGCTTCTATTTCCTTTTGTTGTTTGTACCATCTCTTTATTTCTGCTTTTATCTCAAGTTTCTGTTTTAATCCCTGTAACAGCTCTGATGGCTCTTGTTAATTTTTGTTATAATTCAGTCATTTTTTTTATCTAACTAATTGAATCCATATTGATTTTCATTACCATTATTATTATCATCATCATCATCATCATCTGTTGTTTTCATCTCTCTTGGTTCTTTCCATCATCTTTAATCTTATCTCCTCTTGGTCTCAGCTCCTGGTGATGTTGGGTCCTTGTGTTGTTGGGTTCTGGTGATGTTGGGGTCTTGTGATGTTGGGGTCTTGTGTTGTTGGGGTCTTGTGTTGTTGGGGTCTTGTGTTGTTGGGGTCTTGTAAGGTTTGGTTCTTGTGTTGTTGGGGTCTTGTGTTGTTGGAGTCTTGTAAGGTTTGGTTCTTGTGTTGTTGGGGTCTTGTGTTGTTGGGGTCTTGTGTTGTTGGGGTCTTGTGTTGTTGGAGTCTTGTAAGGTTTGGTTCTTGTGTTGTTGGGGTCTTGTGTTGTTGGAGTCTTGTAAGGTTTGGTTCTTGTGTTGTTGGGGTCTTGTGTTGTTGGGGTCTTGTGTTGTTGGGGTCTTGTGTTGTTGGAGTCTTGTAAGGTTTGGTTCTTGTGTTGTTGGGGTCTTGTGTTGTTGGGGTCTTGTGTTGTTGGGGTCTTGTAAGGTTTGGTTCTTGTGTTGTTGGGGTCTTGTGCTGTTGGGGTCTTGTGTTGTTGGGTTCTTGTGATGTTGGGTTCTTGTGATGTTTGGTTCTTGTGATGTTTGGTTCTTGTGATGTTTGGTTCTTGTGAGGTTTGGTTCTTGTGATGTTTGGTTCTTGTGTTCTTGTGAGGTTGGGGTCTTGTGATGTTGGGTTCTTGTGAGGTTTGGTTCTTGTGAGGTTGGGTTCTTGTGAGGTTGGGTTCTTGTGAGGTTGGGGTCTTGTGATGTTGGGGTCTTGTGATGTTGGGGTCTTGTGATGTTGGGGTCTTGTGATGTTGGGTTCTTGTGTTCTTGTGAGGTTGGGGTCTTGTGATGTTGGGGTTTTGTGTTCTTGTGAGGTTTGGTTATTGTGATGTTGGGTTCTTGTGATGGTTCCTTTAAGCGGCAGTATGACGGCTCTTGTGATGGTTGTGTTAAAAGGTTTGTTGAGTGTTTTGCAGTGGGATTGCGTTTTGTTCTGAATATTTTGCGTTGTCTTTATTCTTGCTGGGTTTATGTTCTGAAGTGTTTGGTTTCTGTTTGTTCTTTTAAATGCTTTAACTGTATGTCAAAGCCTTTTGTAAAACTGTGTTTTTCTTTCAATAAAGTTATTATTATATTATAGCAGGACTTGAACGTACATGAAATTAGTTAAATTTAAACACTTCTGCTTTCACATGTGAATCAAAGTATTATAGAGTTTGTGTAAAGTTGAAGCTGAATGCACAATCACTGAAGATGACTTTGGACACTTCACTGCATCTACATCTTACTGCTATTTATAAACAAGCAGTGCAGAGGGAAGCTTGACAGAGTTTGTTTGTTGATGTGGGAGGGACTCAGTTTACTGACATATTTAAATATCTTTGTGTTAAATTCAACCAGGAAACAGAAACTAAAGTGATTCTGTTACAGAGAGGACTGAAGTGGATGGTCAAGTTTTTTTTGTTCACAACTGCAATTTCACCATTTAGCCCCTAGAGGGCAGCTATACTTTCTGAGAAGGGAAGCGTGTATGTGAAGCTAAAATACTTACATTGCATGATGTGCCTTCACCTGTGTCCGGCAGTTACGCCCCCAGTAACAGTCAGGACGAGCTGTCACAGCAGCTGAGGAAACAAGAATGAGGTAGACATTTATTAAAACAGGAAGTAAGACCCTAAAACAGCAGTGACATATTTTCAGTCTATGCTGCGGCTGAAAAAAAGAGATGCAGTTAAAAATGGCTTCAGTCTGTCTGACCTGGTAGTTCAGATGAGGGGATGCTCTGTCTGTATTTGTAGGCCAGCTCCTTGAATGATCGCAGGCCGCAGCAGAAGCACAGGACGGCGTTCGCAGAGATGCGACCATCTGACAGACGACATACAGAAGGAAAGAATATGACCACTTGTTTATGTGTAGTTTAGCCCCACCACATGTTCTATATTACCATGAATGGAGTGTCATACTGGATCCTTTGAATGCATCTGTCATAGCCCACTGTGGACTCACCTGTGAGATAATACTGTCCCTGCTGTAAGCTCTGCAGAGACTCCTGATGCAGATCTCTCCAGGACTTTCCTCTGGAGGTCAGGTAGGTCTGATAGTGGATGGAAACACACAAACTAAATATTCACACATGCATGTCAAGCCTCTAACATGGGTTTTTGATTAGATTGTGTGCTTCATTTTGAAACAGTTGAAATGTAATGTAGAAAGTATTTATCAGAGAGCAGAAAATGCTGTTTGTTACACAGAAAGATGCAAAGTGTCTAAGTGCTGCACTAGTCTAAAATCAGCAACCATGAATTAAAATACACTTCTCCACTGACCCCTTTAAGCAGTGCATTAAATCACACAAATAAGCAACCACCAGAAGAAGGAGCCTTATTTTACCTGGAGGATCTCTGATTCATAGTTGTTGTTGTTCAGCACACCATCCAGGCATTTGTCTGTCAGGTTGAGCTCTGAAAGAAACATAAATGCTGCACTTGAATCACAGACTTTGTAAAAGAAATGGATGCAGCTACCACAATATCTCCTTTAGTCTGCTGACTATATACCATTCTTAAGCCTCAAGTTTAGCCTTTTTTCAGTCTACCTCTGCAGCATGAAGCGACCATTTTGGATACAAGGACTGATTTACAAGCTACACTCTTACCCTTGTTTACAGGTTATTTTACATCATTCACAGGTTCCATGCCTAAACACATACCCTGCTTGATTATTTATTTTTACTCTGAATAAACATCATGCTGTATGAAAAAGAACTGTGAACCTGAGATTGAGACCATCACTCAGAAGCCTAATCATGTGGTTATACATAAAGTGAACGTAGGGTCATTTTCTGGTTGACTTAGATACTATCAGACTTTTTGCAAACAGTTGAGTCTCCCCCTGCTGACTGTTTTAATGAATGCAAGTTAAAAACACCAACATTGTCTTCACTTATTGAACCAATAGGTCCACTCGTTGCATACAAATTAAGATATCAAGAATAAAGTATTAATCCAACTACAACACAGAAATGAATGGAACAAAGAAATCTACAAAAAAAAAAAATGTAAGCATTGCAGGCTGAATTTGTGAGTTTCATTGGTTGAGCAAAGAGATACATGAGTGCTGTTTATATTTCAGCGTACATGAATAAGTACATGCATTAACTCTGCAGTGACATGCAGGGGTATGTATCATTAGATTATTATGTTTTTTGAGGATGACAACCATTCAAATAAGATACTGCATTTACATAACTTCTACAAAATCTAAGCCTAAAGTAAGCCTACAATCGACAATCAAACTGGAGAGCGCCCCCTGGGGCCGTTCTGCTGAAAGAGATACATACCACTGAATCGAGCCAGACAGCCCTGACAGCCAATCCTCTGGCAGCCCCAGTACATGTGACAGAAGGGTCGCTGGCACAGCACACCTGCCAAGACACAGCACAACATGCATACATGGTTCAAAAAGGCAAAAGCGCAACAATCTGCCTGTACATCTGAAAAGCTGACATTAAATTCCTACAGAGAAGCAAACAAGTTCAGTGGACTCACATTGTTGAGCGACACCCTGCTGGCTGTTGAGCTCGGCCTGTCTGTCTGGCATCGGCTGGAGGCAGCAGGTGCAGATGAGATGGAGGCCCTGTGGGGGGCAGCGGTACTCCTTGGGATCCTGAGGAGCTGCACATAAGACGGGAGCAGAGGAAGCTTCAGATGGATGAGCAGAGGATCCTCACAGTTGAGGTGAGGTCAGCTTTCAGATACAGAACACGCTTACTTAATGATTTTGGTATATTTAATTATTTCAGAATGCTGCTGAAATGGAAGAGTTGAACTTTGGCTATGATCTAATCTTCACTTGTTATCACCTGAGGGGATATCAGAGGATGTTGAGGGCTGCTCCCCTGTGGGCTTTTCAGGCACCTCTTCATTTGGTGGTTTGGGTGGAGGAGGAACTTGTGGTGGAACCGGTAAACCCGGGAGCCAGAAGTTTGAACCTGTGGCATACAGCACCTGACTGAAGTCCCTCCTGTAGCCTGGGCACTGTCTGCACATCACTAGAGGTTGACTGGGGACAAAAAGAGAATAAAAGACACTAAGGAAAATCTTCACATGAAGAACTTTTTCTCTATTCAAGAAGAAAACAAGATTCTATTGAAGCTTTTTTTAGAGTCAATTTGAAGCTCTATGTTTTGCTTTCGCTGTCCAACATCAGAAAGATTAGAAGCTACCTGTTGGAGCATGCTATATAGCTCCTTGTACAGACTCTTGTTATATCACACAATGATTACTGCAAAGCCTTACTGGCATGTCTCCCTCTCCCTGCACACTCAAACCTCTGCAGATGATCCAGAACGCAGCAGCATGACTGGTCTTCAACCAACCTAAAACACTTCTCACTCCCCTGTTCATCTCCCTCCATTGGCTCCCAGTCGCTGATCACATCAAATTTTAAACCTCGTTGCTTGACAAAAACGTTTCTCTCTACCTGAACTCTATCATCCAGGTCTACACTCTCTCCCGTCCAGTATGCCGTGCCAATGAAAGGCGCCTGGTCCTAAAGTTACGACAGGGCTCTAAGTCGAGAGCTGGACACGTCTCCTCTCGAGTCCTTTTACACCTCAAAAACAGAATAACTCCCTATTTCATGAACACCTACGCACTGATATGGATGCCATTTCTATTGTTCCACTTTCTCTCAGATGTTGCGTTAGACAAATCTTCTGCTGAATGAAAATGTAGAATTGTAGTATTGTATTGATAGTTCTTACATGATGGGATTAAGGTCTGAATTTAATGAATACGATTTTCATTTCACATTACCTTCATGCTATCTTTTCCCTTTGGTGCACCAAGAACGACCTGATTGCTCTTTTGAATTGGGTCAGTGATTAAATGGGTCAGTGATGTCAAACATTTCACTTCTTCTACCGTTCCATTTAGCTATTTTAATTTTTTTTTTTCTCGATTTGTTAGAAGTTCTACTAAAAGTTCCTTATTTTATTTCAAAATAAAAGCATGCTTGTTTCCAAACAGGGAGTAAAGTACCCTTAGCTTAAGATGGTACAAAATAAAAGTATAACAAAAACTGTTTTGAAATGCAAAAAATGGCAATAATACATTAACAGATGTGGCCTCAAAACACTTGGGAGACATAGAATCTGCGAAACAACTAAAATGTCTTTACAGAAACCTGAAAACATCTATAGACTGAAATGACTTGAAATCAAGTTAAACTAATAAAACATTTTCATCAAAAGACTTAGACTAAAACCAAGTCCGTTCAGTTGCAAAAATGAGTAGTAGCTGTCTACAAATACTAACAACTAAAAGTTTTACCTGATGTCTGACGAGTCGCTGTCATTGTCGGAGAGCTCAAACAGGAAGTCTGAGCTGCCCTCCTCGTCGGAGAATGAGCGTTCAACTTTTGGCTGCAACATGTCCTGAGTTATCTTGTTACGGCTGTCCATGCTCTTCAGGTCCTCCTCACTGCGACACTTCTCTGTGGGCCGGCACAAATGTACACATCATCAGTCTCCAATGACACATTATTTTAAGCAAGTCTTCCTTTTGCTGAACATCCTCAAAAGAACAAGTCAGGCTTTTTCCTCCACACACTAGAAGTAGATCTCATCTGCATGATTAAAATATGCTATTAAATAATATCCGTCTGTTCAAACCTGGGTGCTGGTTGAGGTAGGCCTCCACCAGGTTGTTGAGGATGTGGTTCTTCCGAATCCTCTCCACAGGACAGCGGCAGGTGGGGCAAAGAGACGAACGCTCCATCCAGCCTGAGTAGCAAGCAGCACAGAAGACGTGCATGCAAGGCTGCAAGCTAGAGCAAAAAGAAGATTGTTAAAACAAACCAACAAGTGGACATGCTGCATGTACGAAAAGTGCATGACAAGAGCACGAGCCTCATGACTGAACTTTAAGGTCTCACCTGACACAGTCGTGCAGAAGGTCCTGACAAATGACACATGTCAAACTCTCCTCCATCTTGTCCGTTTTTGCTCCTTCTGTCGGGGGTTTGGACAAAGAATGTCCCTGTACTGAAGCGACCACTTCTGTACCAGAGGTGTGTGGAGAGCCTGAATCATAATCTTTATCTGTAGAAACAGGAACGGTAAATGACACACTACTCTGAGACAGCTGTCTTGCTTGGCTTTCAAAAACTTTGCACGCTTTATTTGAGAAGAAGTTTTTGGTTAGAACTAAAGCTCTGGTTACACCTTAAACGGTCCTATTTAAGACCACTGGAGAGTTTGAGCTTTTCAAAGCACACCATTGTTTTTCCTTTTTTTTTTCTTTTCAAGTCTGTAAAGCTGTTTTCACGTACAAACGCCTGAAAATATCTAGATAATTACAGGAGGACTGTTCGAGAGATTTCTGCAAGTGTGAAAGCCCTATACTGTGTGATGCCTTTTCAGTCTTAAGTCTATAACACAGTATTTTACAAACAGCTGGAGAGAAGGTCACGGCTCCGGAGCAACAGCAAACAGTTTATAAACAAAGATGAAGCAGCTGGTTGTCGTACGGATGCAAAAATAAGAGAGAAATTAATTTGGAAGAATAAAAAAAAAAAAGGAACATACCATCATGAGTTTTCCTCCTCTTGCTTTCTGGCTCCATGTTGTCTGTGTCTCTTCCCAGTGCCTGGGCTGCATCTCTAGTTTGGCCTGATGAGAAGGAATTTTAGAAGACCTGGGTCAAATAATCACCGAATACCTGATTGTTTTGAATGGTTAGAAAAAAAGGGGGGGGCTCAGGTAATCACAGTCAGGTGAGCAGTGTGTGTGTGTGTGTGTGTGTGTGTGTGTGTGTGTGGGGGGGGGGAGAGAAGGTACGATGCATAAAGCAGATGAGAACAGACAGTGCTGTCATTTAATCATCAACCTGCACATATTAAAATGTTTTCAAGTTCGATACGTTTTGCCTGATACAAGTGGCGTTAAATTTAGAATAAGTTCATTATGGTATTAGTATAAAGTGCAATGCATGGAAACATGATGTACTGTTAGTTCCTCTCACCACAATGGTCACCCCCTTTTTAACAGTGTGATAGCAGAGAACCTACCAGAAGCAGGACAGGCTGCGGTTGCCATGGCACCAGAAGTGGTCATGCTCCCAATACAGAAGTGGGAAGAAGAGGTGGAGGGCTGAGGTTCCTCCTGAGTTGGATCACGAGGAGCCGCTGCGAGCATCACAGGCTCCACAGAGAGGGACATCTCCGACGGTGAAACTGGAGCAGCACTGAGCGCCGTCCTCTCCATGTCTGAGGGTTAGAAAAATAAAAGGGTGGAGGTTACTGGTGAGGCACAAAACACTAGTGAAAAATAAACCCACGGGGAAATTATCCAACTTACCATAAGTTTGTTGTGTATTAGATTGTTCTGCTTTGATTGAGTGGTAGACGTAGGCAATATCTACAAGGGGACAAGAGAAGAAGTTGTTCTCTTGTTTACGTTTGTAAATTAAATTAAATTCTCATGGCTGACAGGATGAACTACTCACTCTGTTCCGGCTCACTTTTCCTGTACACAAAGTAGATGACATCGCCGTTCTGCAGCATGTGAGTTTGCTTCTTGACCAGTTTGGACATGTTGATTATTGTGCCATTAGTGCTACACAAACAAAAAGTGATAGGGTGTGTCACTGTACAATAGAGTCCATGGGTTTGTAGTTTATAGGAAGAATGTGCGACTTTTACTTTACTTCTACTGGATCAAAAAGTTGCACAGTCTTCCTTTAAAAAGGGTAAATACTGTATATGAAAATGACAAACATTGTCAGCTCTTAAAAAAAATGCAAGCATAGTTTAAAAAAACAAACACTGACATGTTCTTTAATTAGTAAATCTGCCCTTGCTACATTTGTTATCTTATCTTTATTTTGTTAGCAGATTCCATTAGAAACAGTCACATGATGCAACATTTTCATCCTGCAGTAAGTTTTTTTTTTCTAAAGGGGAATCATTCAGCGTGCAGTACCTCATATCCTCGAGCCACGCTAACCCCGAGCTTTCATCCTGCACAATCTTACAGTGCTCGCCTGATACCAGTTTATTTGCTGGGAAAGACAAATAACATCCTGGAATAAAGAAAACAAAACACAACAATGAGATCAAAGAACAAACATGAAACCCAGCTGTAAGTTTTTTGTTCCTTTATGAAGGTTTTTATACATCTGTTAAAGAGTCTGCAGGCTGTTGTTTTTCCATGAAAACCTTATTTTCCCCCCTCTACTAATTCTAAAACAAACTCTCAGCAATTTTGGCCAATATGGGGAAACACTTCTATAACTAGAGCCTATCTTCAAACTAATTACCTTGACAATCCAACCTCACAGTAATTAGATTCACAGGGAACAATGTCATGACATGGAAAAAAAAAAAGAGAGATTTGATCACCCAGACACAAGATTACCAATTAAGGCTAGTCGCTTTGCACTGCATTAAAAAAAAAGCAGACCCCCAATAGCTCTCAACGACAAAACAGAGCACAGAGGGAATATAGGCCCAACCTTTTCTTAAGCAGAACCCATACAAAGAAAAAATCTACTTAATATTCTGCACACATGTTCTCAATGGAAGCCTTTTGTTATCATCCCAAGAGGCTGTCTAAGTTTGGTGCACTAAAGAACTCTTTGTGTTTTCAAGGGGGAGGTTTTGAAGAGCTCCAGACACTGACAGCAACGTCTACGCTTCAGGCAGGACGGTCTCTTTTGTTAACAGGCATCATCACATTGAGAACTTTTTTTAAACACGATAAAAATAATAAAAAACAACAACACAATTTTAGGAAATGGCATTAAAAAAAAAAAAAAGACAAATATATTTTGTTTTTCTATAATATACAGACCAACCTTTCTTTCTGCCAACTGTGCACTCCCTGTTGAAGAGCAGGACAGTTTCACTGGAGTTCACTTTGACCAGCTTCCCCCATGGTCGTCCTCTTCTATAACTCTCCATCACCCACTGCTGTTTCTATAAAAAAATAAAAAAAGATACAATTTATAAGCTTCAAACACTTTCTGTACCAATTTGGTGTTACTCTTTTGCAGTGTTTTTGCTACTTTTTTATGGACTACAAAGTAGGAAAGAGAAAGCAAAAGTAAATGTCATCGTTATTCTTCAATGTGAGGTTAATAAAACATTTCAAATGAGTCAATATCCTTTTATATACCAGCTTTATTGGATCTGAAACGTAAGGTTTAAAATGTTACATTTCAAATCTCGTGATTAGGTTTTCAGCAAACATTAGGTTAGATTAAGTTTTACCAGTCTTCCGGTCTCCATAACACTAGCGTAGGCCTATACCTGTTTCAGACACATTTAAACTCAATGACCTCAGCCTGAACACATGAAAACACTTCATCATTTTGAGTTGCCAGGTAAGAGATTGTATTTGTTTTTAATCCATTGATGTTGCATGTGTCATGTTTTATGAATGCCGAATTGACATGGGGACTTCAATGAATCAGAAAATGTTATAAGGAATGTAAGTAAACATATCCATCTTGCGGAAAAAGCAAAGCTACATAAAATGTAGGAAGTTTCTAACCAGGGTTTGGTGCGGAGCTCGCTCGGGTCAGAATCTGCTAACACCTCCTAGCTACGTTTGGCTTTTCTGAGCTTACTAAGTGACTTTTTAAGCGACGAAGCTTGAAAACGTGTACTTTTTTAATCGTTAGCTGACATTATACGTTTTTGAAGAAAATATCCGACACATTGCTGATATCATACAACGCAACGTGAACAACAACTTGGTTCAATAATAACACTAGGCTAACACTGTTGCTAACATTAGCAGATAAACCACACAGCGGAAATCAGGAACACACAGCAACATCCAGAAATGACCATAATGTTAAACATATGTGAAGTCCGTCACACTTACTTTAGCGTCAAAAGGTTTGCTGGTGTCCCACTAGTTGTTTAAAACACTTCTCCTCATGTTCCAGCTAAACACAAGATGCACTTCCTGCTAAGCACTGGGTTGACATTATGTACCGTCATCAGCTGATGGAGGAGGGGCAGGTTGGGACTTGGCCCCCAAAACCATAGACTACATCAGAGGCTCAGACCAGTGCATATAAGTTTCTGCTGGTATTACATGTTGTGTTACATATTGTTGCAACAAGTCAGTCAGTGGCTGTAAATAAGAGAGTTTTGTCCATAAAGCTTACAGTCGTGTAAAATCACCACTTGACACTTTAAGCTTTATTTTATTTTGGGGGGGGGGGGGGTGTAGCCACAAAATAGCATGGCTTGCAAAGAAAATGCCATCTCTGGTAGGCTAGTTGTATTATAGTAACGGAATCATATAGGGAAAGTAATGCTATAAATGCTGTAATTTTTATTCTAAATTAAGCATTAAGTCAAAGTTTTTAAAGGTTGTGGTTTCAGGACTTTTGTGGCCACGCTAGAATTTAAATCTCTCATCATATCACAGTATCATTAACCAATCATTTGTTTGATTCATGCCTCATTGTTGCAGCTTTTAGTAGCTACCTATTAAAAGAATACAGGACTAGGTAAGGTCATGACTTTCTGTCTGGAGCAATTTTTTTTCTCTCACAATGGCCCGTTTTAAAAGATGAAAAGTAAGGAGCTGATGATGACATTGAAGATATTAATCTTCTTGGTAGTCATTTTTTTCCCAAATCAATTTGTTTCACCAATAATTTCCTGGGATGTAGACATTACACAATTACTTGAAATGTAAATGTAGCCTAATTGAAGTTTTTGTGAATTACTTGTATTTGATGTTTTTGGGAGAATGTAGGCCGGTTTTCTTGCACCTTGTTTGTAAAGTTGAAAGATTGGAGAATGGAGGAAGGGCTACAGAGAGCGTGGACAGAAAGCTTGATATGTGCATCAGGGATTTTTGGAGTATCTGATTATATATGAATAATGTTCTTATTGAATGGTTCAAATTGAGTTTAGTTTGAAGTATCCAATACAACCCTGATTTTGAGAAATAAAATCGAGCTTCAACAAATAACAAACCCTCTTATTGTATTCACTGTAAAGATTGATAACTCAGTCTCCTTTATTAGTTGCCAGCTCTACATATCCATCAAGAAAAAATGCAACAAATCACAAAAGAAAATCAAATGTTTCAAATGTTAACTTCCCTTACACCGCACAAGTTATGAACATAAAGATGAAATCTCTGTGTTAAAAAAAAGGAAAATCTGAATTAAAATTTTGCGCCACATTCCTTGAGATCATGTTTACTGGGTTGGATTAGCTTAACATTATAGACTCTCACTCTATTATTTAATGTAATATTTCGTAATAACTGTATTGTGTGTGTATTACTACAAAAGTCAAACCCGTGACTGCTAAGCTGCCTCAGCCCAGAACAGAACTGTGTTGACCTAAACTGTGGATCTTTGAGAGCCCCATATGTCTTTTATTTGTTTATTATGATAATAAAAAGTGGACAAGTGTTGAGAAGAAGAGCATGTGTGCTAAAACACTCAAACAATGCATCTGATTTGTATAATTTCATTGTGATGTTCATGTTAGATAAAAACATATCTATGAACAGTGAACAGAGGTTGGAATTTCTCACAGAACTTCTCTTGCTGTAATTGATTAATATCCTCATCCATATCATCTTCATTCTGTTACACAGGTTTTCTACAGAATATTATGAATCTGTTGATCTCTTAGTTCAACTAGTAATAAGCAACAACCCCCCTAGCAGAGAGAATATCTCCTCAATAAAATATTTTAGGTTTAGAATTTCAAGACTGTCAATCTTGAGATCAAAATCAATCACATTCATCTGTTCTTACTGCAAAGATTTACACAATTCAGCTGCAAAAAATAAGCACGGCAACAAGTGAACACAATGCGGGAGTACATTCTGCTTTCTGCAACTGTAGCAAGAAGAGGAAGAAAGCCAGAAGGACTTGTGGTTCCACATGAAGGTCAAAACATATTGTAGTGTTTTATTCTCATGACGATGGTTGCAATGATTGGTCATTTCAAAAAGTAAATCTATTTCTAATTGTATTGACTATATTGCAAAAACATGCATGAAAGACGAAATCAAGACAGCCTAAAAAAAACATTTACACCATAAGAAGTTTTTTTAAAAGAGTGTTGTTTTTCTTTTATGTGTATTTTTCGTAGGCCAATTTAGTCAAATGGAGTTATTAGCCCACATTAAAAGTACATTTCATGAAACATCTAGACTATGACAAGTCTATAAAGGACAATAATCTAAAGACATATCTGAAGGACATGTTTGTAGATTTAGTTAACGTGTACAAACAGTGGGTTGATTTGTCCCTCTCTTGTTTTGTCGTGTTAGCATGTTAGCTAGCATATTTTAGTTCCATATTCAGCATATACTTACATATTTCTATCTGCTAAACAGCATGTCAGCAAAACACTTAAGCACATTAAAGACCTTGTGATGCTGAAGAGAATAGAGCAGTGATAATGATGTTTGACTGTTGGAGCAGGGGTTCCCAAACTTTTCATCCCGCAACCCACAAAATAATAATGGGAGAGACGGGGGACCCCCTCTGTCACTGGAAGTGGTTCAAGCATTTAACGTTGTCCACAGCAGCACGCACTAATATGCCTATCCCAACACTGACATAAGAACAACACTAAAGAACATAGCAGAGCTTTGAAATCATTAAACAAAGTAAACCAACATTGTAACAATCAAATGTTTTACTTTCAATTAAGCACGAATCTCACTTGAGGACTACTTCACATTAATGGGTGAAATGTGCGATTCTAAGTCATTTCAAATTTGTATTTCTTTTTTGAAGGCATCTCACGACCCCCATCCCAGTGTCTTGCAACTTCCACTTTGGGAATCAGTGCTCTAGAGCACGTGGAGGGATTTATACTCATTTGCACTGAGAAAGGCTGATATTGCATTTGTAAAAAATAAATGATGGTTGTGAACTCATGTGCGTCGAATTGGAAATTTGACTTTAGATAAAATACAATATGAATAACAAGGTTGTAGAGAATAGTACTGTTTTGGACTTCTATCAGGATTAAATGTTGATCTCCACTGTAAAAGGTTGTGAACTAAAGTGAAACTCCTGGGATGATATGGAGTGGGACCTCCGGCCCTGCTAACTGAGAATAAACAAGCAGCAAAATCAATGGTTTGTGTGAAGTACGATTGAACTGCCTGAAAAGTTTAGGAAGTTTTTTCAAGAAGTTACAGGTTAAATATGTTAAAAAGTAGACTTTATATAATGTCGAGTAAAAGGTGACGACTGACAGGCAAGACAGTGTTAGGAGCTTCTGTAGATGCAGTGTTTTTCTGATTTCTCGAGCAGTGCATTTTTATGGGTTGTCATGAAAGAAACATTTTTATTGTTTGTTCCACCGTTTTGTACTAACAGGAGCAGGTACAGCAGCACCTCTATTCCGTCATTTCCTAACTTTTGGTTGTTGTGGTAGTTAAGCTTTTTACCTACAGTACAGTGCTTGCTTTTTGCTCTGTCTATATCTGTAATGTTTCAGTTTTACCAATAAATTAACAGAACCAGACAGATAAAAGGGCCCAAAATTGCAGCCTCTCACAAGGCAGGATACAATAAAAGGGCAGAGTTTATTAAACCGTCCAGGTCGGTTCACTGGTAATCCAAAAAATATCCAAGCAAACAAATCCGAGAGGGGCAGGCAAAAGTCAAAAAGGCAACGTCAAATACAAATCACAAAAAAAGACTGCTGGACCGAGGTGACACGAGGGAACAAATAAGGAACTGGCAACATGAGGGAAGACACATAGGGATTATGCACAGACAATCAGGGGCGGGACAATGTGAGGGTCAGGATCTGAAGAACAGACACAAGGGTAAGTACAAAATAAAACAGGAAATTACAATAAAACAAAAAAAAAGGACAGTCACAAAACATGACCTTACCTAGGATACTTGGCAGGTTGTGTCCCAAACAGCAAAAACTGAAGAGGACACCACAGTGAAGTTAAACATATTGTTTATTGAAGTATAAGGCTAGATGTTACATTTAGAGAGCTGTTAATAACACACTTTTCTTTGGCATGGTAGCACACAGGTTTATAAACTGCCAAGATGGAGCTACCCAGTAGAGCTGTGTTTCTATATATTAATTCCTTTCATCATATTTTTTTCTTACTTTATAATTTGACAGCACGGTGTAAATCTGAAAGTAACACAGTTTGTTATTATAAGTAGAATTGTGTGGCTATAAGGCCGTTGTTTTCTGTAGAAAATGTATGTGCTGCAGAGTTTTAAGTAATGCATCTTATCAATAGTAGGTGTTGTTGGACTACATACCATGGAGACTTTTTTCAGGAGAGACTTGGTTATGAGTAAACAATTATTTATATTAGAGTTTAGAGAAGGAAGGAAAATGTGAGCAGTCTAGGGTGGCCCATAGCATCTTAGGATACCCCCAGCCTTTAGACACTGTTAGTGGTGGTGGTGAAGGCTACAAGATGATGGAAGTGAAAACATCTGAAGAACTAAACCTGGACACTGATGAGAATGATCTACACTGACATGACAAACTGACAGCAGCAGAAAGGAGAACCGATTTGAAGTTTGACAGCAGCAGGAGGATTGGTTGATTAAGGTTGTGGCAAAATGTGGTTGATTTTAATAACTAAAAGAGTAAAAGCCCATAATCAGCTGATCAGAGAAGCAGAGAGAGAGAGAGAGAGAGAGAGAGAGAGAGAGAGAGAATGACAGAGAGTGACATGAATACAAGATGATTTTATGACTTAGTAGGAGAGTATGAAACAGTGACCCTGCTTGAACCAACAGGTACCTTCATGTGTATCGGTTTATAGCTCATTATCCATTCATATTCAAAATTGTACTGTTATAAGTTTGCACACACCTCTTAAAATCATGAACATATACCATAATATAACAACACAGGAAGAGGATGCAAAGCGTGATACCATTTTGAAATTTGTTAGTTGGATTAATTCAGTGTTGGTTTGGGTGTTATCAAACTTTTCAGAATTATACTTAATGACC